TCAGAATTTTATCTAGCTCATGTGCTAGGTAAAATTTCACAGCTTCTTAGTGTAATCAAACCTTATCATGAGTTCCATTTTTTTTTATTTTTTTTTTTGAACCGGTTCACTTTTCAACTTTTGGTTTCCATGCATTTACCAAGGCGAATTTATCTAAAGTGGTGTTACTAGCTCAGCTGATTTTATGTATGTGTTTCGCCGCACGGCTTCTGATATCAAATTGAAAAATTTTGTTTGAATTTCTACACACACTCTTACAGATTTTGACAGTTTATGCCGCCAAAGCAAAACGAAATACAAGTAAATTTTTGTTTTTGTACTCCTGCTATCACCTTATATTAATTCGCCTTGGCATTTACTATGGTCGGTGGAACAGTTTTCGGGCGAAACTCAGGATAAGGCAGAATATTGTGGGCGGTAATAAGGAATGAAAATCAAAATGGAATCCGATAAAACAAAATAACGTCCGTTACTTGCAAGTTATAAAATAGAAGTAAATTTAACCATTTCAGCAACAGACGAAAAAGAGCTTCTGCACGAGCGTTTGTGTGGGTTTTTCTTTTTTTTTTTTTTTTTTCAACTGTCAAAATTTTTCTTTGCGTTTGGCACAGTAAAACTCAATTTATTCGTACACCATGCCGAAAAAGTTACCGATTGCCACCGGCTCTATATCAGAATATTGATAATGTTGCCGCAAGAATGTTTTAGTACAAAGGAAACCGTAGCTGTCAAACTGCCAAGACACCGCAGTAGATGCCAAAATACAAGCCCTGATCTATATTGCTTCTATATTCTAACATTTGTGTCAAGATATAAACTCAATCCTGTGAAGACGGGCAGTTACAGACAGCTGTCACAAACAATCCCCAGCCTCCGCGGAAAGCGTCTATTAACCGAAAAAAAAAGTAGACGAACAGACCTGCCGGAACCAGTGACAATCGGTGACACTGTCCGCAAGGAACACAGCTATCGCAAAATGGCAGACCTTCCAAGCAGTTTTGTTGTTGCCGTACGCTCTAGAAAAAGTATTAGATGGTGCAATTTATGGCACGCTACCGGATGCGCTATACGCCGAAGAATAAAGTATTTATATTTTGTGCGGCGAACAGTAACCCATAACATAATTCAGAATTTTTGTGAGAAAAAATTAAAAATATTTGACATTTTCGAGACCAAATAATTTGAAAATAAATCAAATCAGCTGCTCTACTGATACTACCTGTTCAATGTACCTTGGGTTCTACTATAAGTTTGCATAAAAATAAGAAACAAAGTATGCCAGTTTTTTTCTTTTTAAATGAAGTGTTTGAAGCTTGGGAAATAAAATATTTCATATATTTAAAACAAACTATGGGCGGGACGTAAGTAAACTTTTTGGGGCTGCTCACATTTTTTTCTTTCAGGACTAGGGATGCGGTTCGCTTGCTCAGAGGAATTTACTGCGGCGCGCGGTATCCTTGTGATTTCATCTTCATTTCCCCATCACTGGTTTTATATCCGTGCGTGCGCGCCATCTGTTGAAAATTTTGTGCAACAGAATTGTTATATTTTAGTACGACATTCTCATGGCGACATCTATGCATCACTAGTTTTTTGCAATCCACAATTTTTAATCAAAGTAGTTACATCTGGCCTGTGAATGAAATAACTTGTGCTGAGCAGGGTGACATCTGCTGTAGGAAAATTAAGGTGACATAAACCACTAAGCGGAAAACCTGCAGTGTTGAGTTCGGTGAAAATACGCAGTATCGCTGATTAAAGTCGGAAATTTTGGGCAGATTGTTGAAATTTTAAAATTTTTGTAAAAAATTTAAAATGTTAGTTATATAATGAGCTAGGCTTTTACAAAAAGTAATAAACATTAAATAGACAAACGAGAAATTGCTGGTATCAAATTGCTCCTTGACTGTTTTATGGGTCCCGGGACATAAGGGCATTCCGGGCAACTGCCCAGACGACGAGTTGTCGAGGAGAGGGACGCTAATATCTGAAGTCAATTCTAAGTCAATCTAAAGGCTGTACTCGTCGAAAAGCAAAAATTTGGCCAAAGATTGATGTAAGGCGATCCATAGCTCTTACTTGGCAAGACCGCTCCATGGCCAACACCCGCAACCAATTCTCCAAAAAAGTATTTTCAAGATTGTTAAGTGAAAGGAACAAATGGCTTCGGCCAGTGGTATCAAACCTGGGCTTTTCCAGCCCACGTGTGTTGCGAGCTCTGCGAGGGCAGCCACATTAACATAACCTAAGGCGAATTTTACTGAAAGAATTTTAGTTCAAAGTGAACACTTAACATTTTTTTTTAATAAGTGCACTTCTGTATTCCGTTCTTTCTTTAATAAATTCATTAAATTTTGTTTCATAAAATGTAAATATCCATTTTAAAATGCATAATTGGAAAAAGTGGGGATATTTTTTGCCTTAAGTTTGACATTCGCAAAGGAGCACAAGTTCGCAAACGGACCCGTTGTTTTAATTAGTTCACATTATCGAGCACGCACTGCATATAACTTTGGTCCAATATTTGTAAGTACCAGAAAAAAGAAGCAATAGATCAATGAAAAAGTATCATAAGCATGTATAAGTTGTGTTCCACGTTTCACGAGTCCGAACTTGCCAGAAATAGTCAGTCGTTCTCGTTAGCGTTGCCAGATTTTTTATGCGAAAATCAGTACATTCCACTTTTTCATGCTAAAAAAATCAGTACTTTTCAGTACGTTTTTATTCAAAGCAAAATTATGAATGTAAGTAACAGAAAATAATTTAAAACGCCCGAGTTCTTGTTTTTAACAATATTTTGGTGTATAAATAAAATATAGTTCATAAAAAATAAAAGTGTTATTTATTTTAAAATGAGTGTACACATCATTATGCACAGGAGCCAATAATTTATTTTATATTTGTGACTTCAATCACAATCAATCAATCTTTTTTCTGGATATTGGACCAAACCAATTTTTTTTTTTAAAGATTGAGTCATAGGTAAGTAATTTCTCCGTTCGAAGTTCGAAATTGGACCTTTGGTAAAAAATTATTTTAAATTACTGTATGTAAACTACTAAAAAAAGTAAAAACATAGTCGTGGTACGCACTTTTCTCTTATTTAAACGATATATAACTTTTTCTATGTTACAGGTGCTATAAGGGGTCAAAGGTCGGGTCTTCGAAAAATTAAAAATCTTATATTTCAAACAAGTTTGATCTGATTAAAAAAATAATATAATATCGTCACAAACGTGATTAAACCCGCTTTCTTCTGATATGCAATTTGTATACTTCGTATGGTGCTTCGTATGTATAAATCTGACAAAAAACATTTAAAAGGAAAAAATACCTTTTTTTTATAAAAAAAAAATATTTTAAATAAAAACGACATACAGCTTCACAAGTAGTTCATAAAATATAAAAATGTTATTCGTTTTAATATGAGTGTACACATCACCGTACACAGGAGCCAATCAATTATTTTATATTTATGACATTTTTGAATAGCAATAATGAGATCATTTCCATTTTCAGTGTTTAAATAGTCAAAGAAATCTATACATTTCATTTTAAAATTACTTTTAATTTGAAGTTCACTTTGAAAAATTTTAATTAGAAGCCGGTTTCTCTCTTTGCGCCAGGAAACAAACTTTATTCTTAAGATCCTCTCATACTGTAAAAAAGAACCACTTTTTAAGGAGTTCAACTATATTTCCTCATGGCTTAAATAATTGTTCAACTATGCAAAAACTGTGAAAGTCTAAGAATTCGCTAAAAAGAGTGTCTAACTCTATGCATGGTATGCAAAACTCTTTTACAGAGTCAGTAAATCGAGAAAAAGGAGTTTTAAGTTATAGGCAAAAGCCATTCGAATATTGAAATGTATTGTTATTAAACTGAAAGTTATTTTCGAGATAATTAAAAACAATCGAGAAAAATTGAAGCTTTCTTTTTAAAAAATTTAAGCTCTATAATATGATCGCAACTGGTACGTAACGACCCGGCGATATGCCCATAAAACGATTGATCTTTTCGTTGTATTAATTTCTTGGGCATATCAAACATTATCTAAAACATGTCAACTATAATTAAATTATTTTCTTCTTATTTTTAACAGTACAGTTTAAGGAAGTTCCAACGTTCTGTAAAAACCTTAAGAAAATACTAAAGTATTTAGTTTGAATAGAAAATTCAGTACAAATCAGTACAAATTTTGAAAAATCAGTACTGTACTGATAAAATCAGTACGTCTGGCAACCGTAATTCTCGTACACGCACTTATAATATCTTAAGTACAACATACATATTTTCCGGACTAATTCTGACTATTAAGACAAGTTCATAATAAATGGCACAAAACAATACTGTCCTTACTTGTTTTATTTATTCTTATTCCAGTCGTTTGAAATCTTTCTTATGACTAAAAACTAATTCGAGATCAGATCTACGTTTATTTGTACATACGAAAATTTAGGGCTATCATAATGACAAAAACGAATGTCGCTGCTTTTGGTGTCGCCATTACCTTCCTTGCCTTATTACAAACTAAATAATTCACGTAAATGAGAAATTGTGCTTCATCGGGCCACTGACAAGCAGGATCGGTGCAGGACAATTCATTGCTACCGACGAATTGCTGAGCTTGTACGGACACATACAGTGGTGGGCAATCGGTGATGTATGTGTAGCCAATGCAAAGTTCACTTAAGTCCAAAGCATAGCCATTAGTGGCAGCAGTTTGACCACATCCCTGTTTCGGCTGATCCCCGCCGTCTTGGCGGTACGGCAAGACATTTGTGCGGGAGCTGCAGACAATGAAAGATATTGGGCTTAACGGCCGTATCCGCAGGTAACGCATGCTGGTCGAACCGAAGAAGTAGTTCGGCATTATGCGATAGAAATTGATGTCGCCTGTGCGTACATATTGTAC